ACTCCCACCTCCTTCTCATTCTGGTACACCTGGGCGCAATCAATGTGGCGGTACCCAAAGTCAATGGCAACCTTCACGGCCTCAGTCACCTGGCCAGGAGGGGACTGGAAAGGAAGGAATAAAAATCATGAGATTAAAAACAAAACAAAATGGGGCAGAGTCTGCAATAGGCCAACGGAAAGCAGTGGAAGCAGTGGTCCTGGAGCAGGCCCTGATTCAGCCATCACACATTCGTGTGGTAGCACTCCAGTCAGCCCCCAGGCAGGAGGACCAAGCTATAATGGCTCATTACTTCACCTTAGCACAGCCTGACAGCCACTTGCTAGCAGCACAGATTGCTGGAAGCCTGGAACATAGGTATGATCCCATCCCTCTGGGGGCAGAGGCCAGCCTGGACTAGACAATGAGGCCATGTCTTTAAAGCAATCCCCCACCGCTGAAATCACAGGTAATGCAGGACACCATTGCACTGAAATAGTTAGGTATTTATCATACAGCAAGATCTCAACTGCTGACACTCGGTGGATGAGAACCCAGCCTAGGAGGTGGACACAGAGAGATGGCCCTGCAGAGGTATTAGTGGACAGAAGTGAGTGGGAAGCCTGGCCAGTCAGCAGGACGAGCCTGCATGGCCCTGAACTTCACCAGCCCCCAGACTGCACAGCAATGTTCCTATCTCCTGGCTGCTCCTGCCTAGACTGGAGGGCTGAGCAAGACACTGTGTGGGGCACTACTGAATGAACACAGCACATTCCTTTTGGAGAGCTGGGGCAGGGCAGGAGCAAATGAAAGGAAAACTCCCTAGGGCAACCAGCAGCTGCCAACATCTATTTTGTCTGGAGCCTTGTGAACAAAACAGTCTGGGGAAAACATGGAACGCCAGAACAAGTCCATCCCCAGCACCTGCTGGCAGTGGGACTTGCTCCTCACCCCGCAGAGAAGGAATCTGCCTGCTGGAGGGGCCGTGCCATTCCCCTTTACCCTGCTGGGCAGCCCCTTGTTTCCCTGGAGGATGACCTAATAGTGCACCCGTGGCTTCTCTCCACCCTTCCGTGGGTGGCTGAAAGAACTATCTCAGCATATGCAGAAGGCTCCCCGGCCACGGGCTCTCGGGGGGGGGGGGGGGGGGGGGGGGACCCAGACATAGCCATGGCTGATAATAGCTGTGAGGGGAAAGCGCATCCCTGCCTGAGAAAGCCAATCTAAGAGGGGCCGGGTGAGTTGGGGCTCTGCCTCACGGCACGTGTTGAACTTTTACCAGGAATTATGGCACTTTCGCTGCCTCTTCTCTTAAAGGCTCCCCCCACCCCTTGCCTGGTAGTGAGCCTGCCTGGGGCTTGGCAGCACCTGGCTTTGGATAGAGTGCTGGGCACAAGGCCCAGGATGGGCAAAGCCAAACAACAACTGCCACGGCCACTCATGCACAAATAGGAACACACTTGAGCCAGGCTATGAGACTCCATCTCTGGACCTGCACTCACCTGCTAAGGGCCCTCCTCAGCTAGAGCCCTTTGCTGGGAGAATGCAGGCTTGCAACTCCTTGAAAGAATGGGGCCAAGAGTGACTGAATCCTGGTGACCTTAATTTCTAACTCCAAATGGAGTTCCAAGCGTGAATCCAGTGGCTGTCATGGGTATCGTCAATGAGACCCCACCCCAACAAAACTTTTGTGCTTGTTATCTGCTTATGGTTAACTTGACTATTCTGTTCCTCAGAGCTAGAGTGCAGACAACACTAATCAAGGTTGCCAGACAACTAGACCAAACTAAAATCCACAGAAAAATCTGTGTGATGTTTTCATGGGAAGACAAAGACAGATAAAAGCTAGACAGGCAAGAGGTCAAGGAGAAAGCCTGCTTCCAGAGGTGTCCTTCCCTACACACAGAACCCTGGTGGCTTAGTAAGCAGACTTCAATCTGCCACATCCACAAGCCTCTGACAGAAAACCCATGGAATGATCACAATGTGCCACCTTCAATGCCCTACCCACAGTCACCACAAAGAGCAATTTCCATTGTCATCTCAGAAACCAGCCTCCCTTGTTTTGATGGGGTAAGTTCATCTGACAGCTCAGTAATCTACACAGTAATCCCAAGAGATAAAGTCTGACCCTCAAGAACGACCCCTCCTCCAGCCTTACCATGCTGAAAGCCCTAACCTGGTTCGGCAACACTAATAAAATGTGCTCTACTGTAACAAGTCAATAAACCTGTCCCGATTTTAAGACACGGCTCCACCCAATAGATGTGAGTCCAGGACTGGCCCTACAGGCAGGATTTATTTGACGACTTTTGATTTTGAAGATGGAGAGGTTAAGGTGTGTAGCCTGATCACTGGTAGGCAACCAGGAAACCAAACTCCCATTTCATTGGCCACAGCTCTTCCTCCTGGCCCCAGAACGGTCACTGGAAGCTTGTTTTAACTCAGCAAGTGGCAGGAAGACTATTGCACATTTTTCTTCTAGGGGCAAGTACTACCCCAAAGAGGCAAAAATTAGACTTGAAAAGAAAACCTGTCAGAGCTTAAGAATGGCAGGGCTACAGGGCATGTGCACATATACAGCAGTTTCACCTGAGATACCAAGATCTGGTTGGGGTGCAATTAGGCCAAAAGAATCTCAAAAGACTCCTGGCTGGGAGGCACAGGGGACATTAACTGGAAAAAGACTGAGAACACAGCTGTCCCTCCGTTCCTGGATGCAGTCCTAGCCTACATGTGGAAGAAACAATGGCCATGTCCTTACAAAGGTTTTCAAATAGGTCAAAACATCAGTACAGGATGCTGGTCTGTATCATGGTTAGCTCTGTCTTACAGGCCTCCTGGCCATATGGGTGTATTTACTGTCCAGAGGGAAGGCAAGCCAGCCAGGAAGAAACTCCTCTGAAGTAAGAATGTCTCCCAACTGCCTGAAATCCTCACCTCTGCGGAGAAGGGGGGCGGGGGCGGGGGGTAATGAAGGCTCTAGAGGAAAGAGTGGATCATAGACTACTAGAGTCTTGCTGCTAGTCTGCTGGGTACCACAGAGCCACTGACATGATTTCATGAGAACAAGAAACTGCATCCATGTGCCCTCTTCTGTGACCGTTACAATGATTATACTGTTCATCATCTATGAAGGAACATGCACACATATGCAAGGGAAAACATTACATCGATATTCTTTTTTTTAAAGAGGGAAATTTATAAGTCTCTACTGACCCCATCTCTTTCATTTCTACCCTTTTCCCCCTTCTATACCAACCTCACCTGGCCCCCAGAAACACAAGTGGACATTTTCTCTACATAGTTTCCTTAATAGTGGATTTCTTCACCTTAATCTAACACATGATTTCTGGATCCATTATACCAGCCAGTCGCTGTGGGATGGGACAGAAATAGCTGACCGAGAAGAGGCTAGAATGATCTAACCATACAAATGTATGTTATTTTAAACAAACACCCAGCTCTCCGGGGCTGCTGCATGCTCTCCAGCAACTGACTTGTGAACTTGAACTCCTGATGTGTTGGAGAATTGATCTCCAAATGCTGGCCTGTGAAATGATTTTGTAAAGTTATGACCACGGTTTTTGGAGAAATGGGATAGCACTGAAGTATCAAAACTCTACCCATATTGTGGGTCGAGTCTTACTTCCAAAACTTCTACTGTGGTTACGTGTGCCTATACGTGTTGTGTTCTGTAGCTGTGCTCACTACAGCAGGGAGACCATCTTCCTCATCATTCCAATGCACGAAGTTCAACCTGGTATACGGCTGTAATTCAATTACACCTTTACAGACACCAACCGCCCTCTGGAAACACAAGCTGCATATGCTGATCTGCTGGCCTAGAAACACGCTCAGAGAAAGACAAGTCTATACCCTGCTTCTTATTCACCATATACATTATCCATTTTAACTTGGTACAAAAGGACTCTGTCCTGCTTCAAACTATTAGCGCTCAAGTCTGCCCATTTTTCTCTTTCCCTCACTGTCTAAGTGCTTACTATCCAGGTCCATATTCAATGTTCCTTTAAAATCCCAGCGGTGGGATGTAACATATACCTACAACTACCCTAATAAGTAGCTTAAGAACTAGGTTTTTCCTCTGCTCCAGTAATGCCACCAAAACTGGTTCCTCGGCTGCCAGATAATCAAATCAGTTACTGCTTTTAGTGTTGAATTATCTGTTCTCTCCTCTCCCGCTCCCCGCCCACCCCCCGAATCTCACTCTGATGTATGAGGTCCTCTTCTCAACCCTGCTGGGCTGTGTTGAGGTTTTGGAGGTGTCCCACCTGGATCCCTCTTCTTTATCAGTGGGTGGTACCCAGCAATGCGGAAGCCAGATTAATTCTCTGAGGAGTTCCGCACTCGTTAGGAGCTGTGCCCAGAGCCTTAGGGGACAGAGAAACAGGCGAGTTCCTGGCGAACTCTCGCCTCCTAATTTAATCATCTCAGGCCCATTGGCCCAACTGGCTCATATTCCCGAGAGGGCAACATCCGGGCCAAGTGGGGGACAACCTACACGTGAGGCTGGGGCGCCACGGGTGCCTGGTGGCAAAGCTTGGGGCTCAGCTTCCGCCCCTCTCGCCGGGTACCCGTGGGTGTGTCTCCACCCGGGGCGCCCATGCCGACTCTAGCCCCGAGCCCGACAGGCGGGGCCCCGCCCCGATGCGCACGACAGGCCCCGCACTCGAGCCCCACTCGGCGTAGGCCGTTCGGGGTCACCCAAGCGGGGGGCGGGCCGCGTCCCTCAGTGCTCCTACCTTCCAGGTGCCCAGGCCCAGGGTGGGCATCTTGGCGCCGCTGTTGAGCTCCAGATGGCAGGCCATGGCTGCTGCACGTCACACGCCCCGACCGACCCGCAACTGTGCGGCGCTGGCTCCGGCGCGCACCTTTAAATAGCCCCAACGGTCTGCAGAAAGGAGGCCTGCGATTGGTGCACGGCTGAGTGAAGGCGTCTTCTGATTGGTCATCGCCGCGGTCCATGAGGGGTCCGCGAGGATGCTTCTCCCGCGAGGTCCTAGCGGCACGGAATTCTCCAGCTGCTTGACCCGCGCCCCACGTGGCAGAGTGATTAACTGTTGTCGGAGCGCCAGAATGTGCATGTTCCGAAAATAACCCGCATCCTAGAGAGGTAAAGAGACTGGGAAGAAATTTTGGTTTCGTTTTAGAGCCCAGAAGACGTTTAGAGTCCCAGGATGACACTTTTCTGGACTCCTACGCTTCTTGTTTTCAATCTATGGAGCAGATAGGCTTCAGGTGTATTTGAGTGCGCTTTTTTCTTAGATTAAAATGCTTGTAACCGATTTTGCAGAATACCACGAAATTTCCGCTATCCTTTTGTATAGTTTTCTGCCACCACCGGTGTCTGGACATGGCTCAGTTTGGTTCAGCAAGCCTTGATACAAAACCCAGCAACTGTTGATGTTATGAAACCCTCGTAAACTTGATCCAGAACGCACAAATGATTCTGGAAAGTAAGACTGTTGAATTGGCAGGTTCCCGTTTAGCAAGTTGGCCAAACCAAACTGGGAGAAAAGTGAACGTGCAGAATCCCACAGAAGGAAAAGTCCACTCTCAGTGCAATGATTCTGAATTAGGAGGCACTAAGTAAATTGACCAGTTGTATTGGGTAGAAAGACAGACTTTTCCTAAAATAATCTAGGTTGCCCCAAGAACTAAGGAGGCAATTTTGGTACTCTTCCAACACCCATCTGGGTGTTCATCCCTGTCTCCTTTTGCTGGGTCATGCTCAGTCGACCCCTGATTATGCAACAGGGCAGCTGCATGGGCTGAGTCATGAGTCAGGAACCCACCTCTCAAAGTCCCATGCTGGTGATTTTCCAGATGGTGCCCTCTTAAAAAGTGACACTCCTCCACCCCCATCCCAGGGAAAATTTATAAAGAACAGATACTTTTCCATTCGAATTTTGTAAAAGAAAAAAAAAAAAACACACGTTGGCATGGGGAAATTCTGGTGTAATTTTTCTCTGAATAATAGAATTTGAATTTGAGTCTCCTGCTGGGAACTTGGTTTGTGTAAGATAGCAGATGATGTGGCCCACCACTTGTCTTCAGTTAAATCCCTCTTGGCATTCAGAGGGCTCTGCCATTGAACCTCTTGGGTCCAAACACAAAGGGCTGATGCCTTGAGAAGCAATGCACCTGCTCTGTGTGGCAGCCAACATCTCCTTACTCAGCATTCAGGAAATTGAGGCAAAGGGATTGAGATGTTGGAGTCAGCCTGGTTGCTTAATGAGATCCTGCCTAAAAGATAAAGAGGACCATACTACCGCCACGACAAAGAATGTATCTTTAGCCACAGGGGGCATACACAGAAGGGTCATCATCAGTTATGGAAATGCACTATGTACCAAAAGCTTTGTTATTGCAAAAGAAATTAAATACAATGTTTGGTTGTCTAAAACTCAGTATTTTGCCTGGGCCATTCAAATGTGAAAAGACACACCCATGGAATTCTCCTAGTAATCACAGTGCTAAATTGAGACAGACTATTACAGTAGTCTCCTGGTAACTCCGGTTGCCTCCGTAATCTTTGTACAATGATTGTGCATGCATCAAATTCTTCTTCAAAGAGGAATATAGCCAGGCATGAGAGTGCAGGCCTTTAATTCCAGCACTTGGGAGGCAGAGGAGTAGATTTCTGTGAGCTCCATAGAAAAGCCTTGAAAGGGAACCTTTCTATAAACCTTTCTGTTAAAGCTTTCTAGTTTCACCTAACACACTCTGACAATAAACTCCCACCACAGGGATTATTTCATGAGGATATAACTTGGTGGGGGGGCAGCTATACTGTAGGTATAGGTGTGAATTTTCATGAGAGAGGTGAGTACTGCCTGAGATTTTATTCCCAGGGTACATCCCAACACTGCACAGACATGTGTACATGTGCATACAAAAATCAATGTAATGCACACAAAGTCAATCTGCAAATGTCTAATAATAGCAAGAAATAAAGCTTAGCCATTAAACGGGAAGACAGTACAGACACAAAGAAGAGTGTGTTTGAAATGATGCTGAAATAAAAATACGCCGGGTAGTGGTGGCGCATGCCTTTAATCCCAGCACTCAGGAGGCAGAGGCAGGCAGATCTCTGTGAGTTCGAGGCCAGCCTGGGCTACAAAGTGAGTTCCAGGAAAGGTGCAAAGCTACACAGAGAAACCCTGTCTCAAAAAAACAAAAATAAGTAAATTAATTAATTAAAAAAGTAAAATAAAAATATATACAAAGTCATGTGAACAGGAGTTAATGACAAGCGGGAGGAAAAGTCATATTACTTTTAGAAAGGAAGAAGCCGTAGGAAATGAGGGTATCATTGGTCCGACCATTTCCTTTGTAAACACATTATTTTTTGCAACTAAAAGACAACCTCTGGGGCTGGAGAGTTGGCTAGTCGTTAAGAGGACTGGCTGCTCTTCCAGAGGAAGCAGGTTCAATTCCCAGGACCCACACAGAGACTCACAACTGTCTGTAACTCCAGTTCCACACCATATTCTAACCTCTGAGGGCACCAGGAACACATGGCTATAGACACACATGCAGGCAAAACATTCAAATACATTAAAACAAAACAGAGAATAACGTCAACAAAAACCAAACGGCTCAGCAGTTAAGAGCACTTGCTGCTTTTCCAGAGGACTGAGTTCAGTTCCCTAAACCCATGAGAGGCTTACAATGGCCTGTAACTGCAACTCCTGAGGATCTATCTGATGCCTACTTCTGGATTCTGCAGGCACCTGTATATGTGTGGCATGTAGTCACACACACACACACACACACACACACACACACACACACACACACACACACTTAAATAAAAAATAAGTCTTAAGAAGTCTATTTTTGAAAAGGACAACCTCTCTTTAGCTGCCAAATGCCCACAGATGCCCAGAGTATAAAGCTCGAGTTTCTTGTGCTGATATTCACAGAACTATCTTCAATCTGACACAATTGTATGAGTATACTAAAGGCCACTGCAGGGTATACTTTTAAAAGATGAATTATGATGTGTGTGAATTATACCCCAATCAAGCGTTTATAAACAATCCAGCCAAGGCTACACGTTGCACAGCTCACTGAGGCTGGTGGAGGTGAGCTGTTGGAGGCTTACCTCCACACAGTCTCTCAGGACCCAGGGTATGGAGGTCTCCTCTGACTGCTTATTGTTCCAGCCCAAGTCTTCAGAGTTTGTCCCAGAAGAGCCAAAGGGAGGGAGGGTCTCACATGAATTGTTCAGGTATGGAAAGGGCGCACATCACTTCCACTACAGTGTATTGACCACATCTAGCCAGCAGGCCTTGTGTACTAGTTAACTTCTCTTGCTGTGATAAACACTGACCAAAACCACCCTGAGGAGGGAAGAGTTTATTTGGTGTACAGGTCCCGATCACAGTCCATCATTTTGGGAGTTCAAGGGTGGAGCTCAAGCAGGAGCAGAGGCACTGGCTTGCTTCCCACGACTTGCTCAGCCTGCGTCCTACATAACCCAGGACCGCTTACCTAGAGGTGCCATCACCCCGTAGGTCTGGATCTCTTACTTCAACTACCTGTCAAGAACATGCTCCACGGGCATACCCACAAGCCAGTTTGATGGAGGCATGTTCTCAGTTGAGGCTCTCTCTTCACAGTTGACTCTAGTTTGTGTCAAGCTAACAAAACCGAACCCGCACACTTTACTTATCCACCATGGCATGACAGAGTGTCACCATTATGTGTTAGAAAGCAAGGGTACCTGGGATGTGGGAAGAACCACGAGTCTCGCCCACAATGACAACTACCGAGCTTTCAGCATGCTTCAAGCCGCGAATTAAGCACTATACAAATGTAACCTAAAGGTAGTGCTGCTGCCAGTTATAATGCCAGCAGTGATGATAACACAGCAGCGGGTACCGGCTGTGCTCGGTATGTTTCCAGCATCACTCCATAAGCATTATGCACACGCTTTCGTTTCATCTTCAATGTCACGCATGGTGTGGGTCCTGCTATTAATACATGTTACTTATCATGGAAACGGGGCATCAAGATGTGAGATAAGTTGCTGTCTTGCTAAAAGCAAATGTATAGTCACAATGTGAACCCAAGGAATTTGACTATAAAACCTGCAATATCTAGTATTAATTTTTAGCTTGGTAGCATCTAGAATCACCTGGCAGATAGGCCTCAGGGCATGCCATTGGAGGGGTACTATTCTTATTTATATTAATTGTTGTGGGTGGGACCATTCCCTGGTCAGGGATCCTGGCTGTAAAGAATAGACAGGTAACTGAGCAGCATCCTCTACTTTCTGATTGTGTATGTGATGTGATGAGCTGCTTCAAGCTCCTGCTGCCTTGATTTCCCTGCCACAATGGGCTGTAACCACCTTGAACCGTAAACTGAAACAAAACTTTTTTTCCTTAAGTTGCTTTTGTGAAAGTATTTTATCAAAGAAAGGAAAACTAAGACTGAACTCAAGCTCCAGACTACTACAGCAGTGACTTTCAATTTGTTAAAGCATGATTCACAGTAAGAATTATATCTCATAACACTAGACACACACACACACACACACACACACACACACACACACACACACACACGCGCGCGCGCGCGCGCATGCACGTGCGCGCACACACGTGGGTAAAGACACCTTAAGAGGGGCTGGAGAGATGACTCAGAGGTTAAGAGCACTGATTGCTCTTCCAGAGGACCTGGGTTCAATTCCCAGCACCCACATGGTAACTCCAACCACCTGTAGCTTCTGCTCCACAGGATCCCATGCCCTCTTCTGGCTTCACTGGGCACTGCACACGTGTTGTGCACACATACACATCTAGGCAAACACTCATACACATAAAATAAAGATAAATAAAAATCTCAAGAAACTTTAAGAGGTACATGACATTTGTCATCCTTTTTGTGTGGTTTATTCTTTACATGTGTGGTACATTCTGGTCTTCCTTCTTTTCTTCCTTCCTTCCTTCCTTCCTTCCTTCCTTCCTTCCTTCCTTCCTTCCTTCCTTCCTTCCTTTCTTTCTTTCTTTCTTTCTTTCTTTCTTT